GCCTTAGTCATCTAAACCAGCTGGGTTTGACTTTGGGTCACCCAGCTGGTTTATATATCTCCCAGGCCAATCCTGAGAGAGGGGTTGTTTTTCTTGGAAAACAACAGGGTTGTTTTTCCTGGAAAAATAGAACGAGGAAGAAGTATGATGTATATTCTCCACCTTGAGTTATTTATAAAAATAATAAGAGCAGGCATAAAATAAAATGCAAATTAAAAGGTAATGAAAGCAGGAATAAAACAAAAATAAAAAAGAGGAAAAGCTACTACTGTTAATCATCTTATCTTGACGGTCCTGATTCTCAGACCTTCACTAATAAAAAACGAAGCTGGAGCACTAGAAGCAAACCACACAGGAGCCAAACCAACGTGCAGCTAAAGTCAGCCATGGGGGCTAAATCCAGCTCTCTGCCAGTTCAAACTCTACCAGTTGAATCACCTACCAACAGATCCTCCCATTCAAGCTAATCCACACGGACAATTTCCAAAATGAGATTTCTCAGTTCTGCACAGCCCTCAAGTGGCCAAGAGAGGCAACTTCTCCAGACCGGTCTGCAGAGAAGGAAGTGGCTTCCTAAAGGATTTTTAATCCAAAATTTGTCATCTCCTGTCCTACTTCTTCACTCCGGCTCCACCCGTGTGTTTTGGAATAAATCTCTCGGCACGCCCTTCCAGGTTGTCCTAGAAAACCAGCCCCATTTCTATGACTTCGCTACCTGTATCGTCTGCCACTTCCAAAGCAAAAGAGAATTAAATGCGTTTTATGCTTATTGGCCCTGTTTGTGAAAGCAATGCCTTTGGTTCAGGCTGAATTTTATATATGTTTTATATATATTTCAAACTCAATTGTGGGTTGTAAGTTGAGGACTCGTGTACATCACAGGGGGATGGTAGGTAGGTAGAGATGATAGACAGACAGATATGATAGGTAGGTAGGTCTAGATAAATAGGTAGGTAGGTAGGTATATATAGAAAGATATAGGGAGAGAGGGAGGGAGGGAGGGAGAGAGAGAGAGAGAGAGAGAGAACAGCAAAGAATGTTCTTTCTGTGCCAACTCAGAAAGCTCAAACTGCCCAAGGAGCTGCTGATCCAGTTCTACAGACGAATCATTGAGTCTGTCATCTGCACCTCTACAGCTGTCTGGTTTGGTTCTGCAACCCAACAGGACAGACACAGACTTCAGAGAGTAATTAGGACGGCAGAAAAAACAATTACTACCAACCTGCCTTCCATCAAGGACTTGTATACTGCATGAGTCATAAAGAGGGCTGAGAAAATATCTACAGACCCCTCACATCCTGGACATAAACTGTTTCAACTCCTACCCTCAAAACGACGCTATAGAGCCCTGCACACCAGAACAACTAGAAACAAGGAGAGTTTTTTTCCCCGGAAGCCACCACTCTACTAAACAAATAATTCACCCAACACTGTACAACTATTGACTAAGTCTGCACTACTATTACTGTTAATCTTCTCATCACTCCTTATCACCCATCCTCTCCCACTTGTGACTGTATGACTGTAACCTTACGATTTATATTGACTGTTTCCTAGTATGATTTGATTGCTTACTGTACCCTATGACTATTGTGAAGGGGTGTACCTGATGATCCTTGACTCTTGACGAATGTACCTTTTCTTTTATGTACACTGAGAGCATTTGCACCAAGATAAATTCCTTGTGTGTCCAGTCACACTTGGCCAATAAAGGATTCTATTCTAGAGATAAATAGATGATAGATGATAGATAGACAGACAGACAGACAGAAGAGAGAGAAAGAGAATCAACCCCCCCAAAGTGTAGAGGGAGTTGACTTACGACCCACAACTGAGCCCCAAATTTCTCCTGCTAAGCCAGACGCTCATAAAGAGAGGTTTGCTCCATTTTATGACCTTCCTTGCCCCAGCTGTTAAGTGAATCACCGCAAGTGTTAAGTTAGTCACACGGCTGTTAAGTGAATCCGGCTTCCCCAATGTACTATGCTGGTCAGAAGGTCAGGACACTGCAACCGTTTTAAGTACAGGCCGGTTGATCACATGATCACCGGGACCCTGCCACAGTCGTTAAGTGTGGAGAACAGTTATAAGTCGCTTTTTCCCCCCAGTGGTCACTAAACAAACTGTGGTTAAGTCGAGGATGCTCTGAATTCTTCTTCGTCATTTAGGTCAAAAAACTAACATGAGGATCTCCATTTAGAATTCCAGTCTGCTTGGAAAAGGTTGGGGGCTACATGTGTCCTTTTGTGCACGCGTGTGTGTGTGATTGTGCATTCTTTTCCAGCACAGTCATCGTTATGTTTTAACGACCCCATAATCTTTTGCAAGGTGGAGTCTGGGGCAATTGAATGGAGCTAGCCGAGTGCTTGAACGGCCGGATGCCCTTCCTGTCGCCAATGCAGAGTTTTGTTCGGCAGAGATATATTCTCAGTGTGCCAAGAGAGAGAAATATCGGCCTTTACCTAGGATCAAACTCACAGCCTCCTGATTGTGAGGCGAGAGCTCCGCCTTCTAGGCCACCACACCACTCTCCTTAATGGCACATTGCCGTTAAAAAAAGAAAGACATGTACACACACCCTCCCGCATACACCCGTGTCTTGTTCTTTCGGCCCTTGCTTTCCCCAGCGGGAATCCCTTCTCGATCCCTGAATCCATCCCTCCATGCTCCAGAGACCTACCTAGCTCAGAATTCTGCTGGGGCACCGCCACTTCCTCATGGTTGGCCTCGTTGGCCATCGATCGAGTGATGCGCCCTTTCCGCCAGCCCTGGCTATTGGCCGTCTTGCGCCCTTTGGAGGTGACGGCTTCCTTCTCGTCGTTGTCCTCGCCAGATGTATCCTCATTCTTCTCCCTGACGGAACCAGAACGAGAGAGAGAGAGAGAGAGAGAGAATGATCGGGTTGGGTTTCCTGCAGATAGGTGGAACCATCACCACAGCCAATTTACATCGATTTTGCTTTTTCTAAGTTTTCCAAAAAGTGGAAAGAAGAGAGAACTGGCTGAGTGTCATGACCCTGTCAAGAGTCCGAATTCGAGGAAGAAGATGAACAGCTGACAGGGAGTGGGAGTGCGGCTCCGTTGGCTGTGGAGGAATCTGGGGAAGAGCAAAGTCCAGCTGGGCAGAGCAGGGAAGAGGTAGAACAAGGGAGAGGTAGAACAAGGGAGAGGGAGTCCAGGCCCACCTCCTCTTCATCCTAGGGCATGCAGGGAGGAACGGAGGAAAGAGCAACATGGGTTGCATGGCTTACGGGGGAGGAAAGAGCCCTGATTCCCTTCATTAGCCAGAACCTGGGAATGAAAGTTTAAAAGAGATGCATGCTGAGTGAGGCAGCTGTTGGGAGCAAATGTGAGTTTATCTTGTGTTGACTTTACTTATCTGTGCTCCTGGCATCTTCCCGTCTTGAGTTATTGCCGGAAAAAGGTGGGCCTTGATTTTGATCTCAGAGGATTCCTTCTGAACTATTTTCAAAAGGATCATAGCTGTCATGCCCCCTTCAGAGTGGGAGAGTGGCTCCATAGGCCGTGGAGGAAACTGGGGAAGGGCACAGTCCGGCTGGGCAGAGCAGGGGAGAGGTAGAACAAGGGAGAGGGAGTTCGGAGGAAGACCCAGGCCCCACTTCCTTTGCAGGAAGCCAAATTCATGCCTAATTCTGCCAGATTTGGGGGAGAGGGACTCGCACAGAGCCGAGCCCTTCTCTGCTCCGTGGTGTTTACTATCCCTGAAGTCTAAAACAGGGACAAAAGTTAGGAAGAAATATATTTCCCAGGCAGGAAAACCCCAGCATTAAAACTGCAGCCAGGCCAGTTTCTTGGTACACAAAAATCGCTTGTTTCAAGCCACATCCCTTGAATTTCAGGGTGGGAGAAAATCACCTGCGTCCTCTTTTATGTTGGTCAGGAAGGAGAAGGAAGAACAGATGCAGCCAATGTAGCATTTTATGGGTTTATTTGGGAGATCTGTCTCTTCCCCCCGTCCCAAACGGCCCCGGAGGCAATTGTATTTTCAGCTGCACGAAGGCAGCGGGGGAAAAAACCAAGTTGGGTTTTTGAGCAAACTTCGGAGAAGAGAAAAATATCACTGGTTTCCCCCACCACCACCACCCCTTCGTTCTTCTTTTCTCTTTCTCGACTTTTGTTTCTCTTTGCACTCGATTTTATTGCAAACTTTAATAAAAAAAATATATAAACTCTTTCACTCCCTCCCCCGCAATAAAAAAGGCATCTTCCAGTGAGTCACAAAAATCGAGGCGAGAAATGGATGCAGCTTTTCTTGCAATTTCCTTTCTGTTTCTTGGAAAGCAAACGCCCCTCTCCTCCCTCCGAGACTTACTTTGTCAGTTCCTCTTTGTCGTTTTCAGATTCTGGCTTCTCCTCTTCCTTCTCTGCATCTTTCTCTTTTTCCTCTTTCTCTTCTTGATTATTCCGGGGCATCTGTTGTTGTTGGTGCTGCTGCTGCTGCTGTTGCTTGAGGGCAGGGAAAGAGAATCCAAAATAGGGGAAATTGAACATCTGGAGGAGAGACTAAACCGCCCAAACTCTCACTTTCAAACTTAAGGTGACACGAGCCCTTCATCTACGCTTTCTCCTGTTCCCACACAATGATTTCTGAGTGTTCCTCTTTTTTAACAGGTTTATCGGAAAGAAATTAAGTACTTGCCGGTTCTATTGTGACACATGCTCGGACAGGGGTCCAAAGCATGGGAGAATACATCATACATGCAAACATGACTCTTCCAATTTTAGCCTCCTCGTGTGTTGCAAGACAGGCCCGCAAAGAAAAAAAATTCAAATGCAAAAATCTGTGAGAAAGTGACCAAATTGCTGTCACTTTGCTACAGCCATCTATTTACCTTTCTATCCATTTACCTACCTATCTACCTGTCATCTAGCTAGCTAGCTATCCCAGCCACTTTTCCATCCCATCCATCCATCCATCCGTCATATCTATCTGTTCAGCCCATTCATCCATCCATATCCCTCCGCATTCATTCATCCGTCCATCAATCCATTTCTATCCATCCCATCCATTCATCTATTCATTCATATATCTAGCCACATCCATCCATCCATCCACACCCATCTATCCATTCATCTATCTGTCATCCATCCATCTCTCCACATTCATCCATTCGTCAATCCCTATCTATCTATCTATCTATCTATCTATCTATCTATCTATCTATCTATCATTCTATCTATCCCCTCTATTTTTCCATCCCATCTATCCCTCATCCGTTCATCCCATCCATCCATCTCTCCACATTCATCCATTCGTCAATATCTATCTATCTATCTATCTATCTATCTATCTATCTATCTATCTAT